GGGGGGGGGGGGGGGGGGGGGGGGGGGGGGGGGGCGCAAGCGTAGGCTTGAAGACACCGTTCAGGGCCTTCCTTTCCCCCAAACCAATCGCGCGGTTAGTGCCCTGGGCCGTTTTCGGCGTCGTAACGCTCCTCTGTTGTTGCTGCAGTTCTACGTCTCCAGAGGAACGAGGCGGTGGCATCCTCGAAGGCAGCGGGGTGCCTGTGGCGGCGGCGGTGGTGTGGGGCGCAGAAGGAGGCCTGATGTGGGCCGGTGTTGTTTGCTGCGGAAGCACAACCCTTTCGGCCAAGGTTTCGTGGGGGATGCCGTGTCGCAGCGGTTTGATGGCCTCTCTTGTGGAGAACCGGTTCTCGGCTCTTGCCTGTGCCCTAGAACACCGGGTGGTAGTTCTCTAGGTACCATGTAGTTATTTGTAGATGAAACGTCTTTGGCGTTCTTTTCGGGGAGGGCGTACGGCACTTGTGCCATGTGGTCGTGTTCCTGTCGTTTTTACCCATGCGAACAAGCTAGGGTGTATTCAAATATGCATAGTTTAATTTTTTTCTTGTGTCTTTGCGGCGAGCGGAAGGGCTGTTGTTTTGTTTATTGTGTATCGAGGTGTGCAGACGATCGGTGTAGAGACTGGCACGAAGTTTGTCTTTTGTCGAACACCAGCGCGTATGGCTCTCGAGTACACCAGTGCATACCTGTTTGTCTGCGTGTCCGTCTGCTCGTATTCAGTGTAACATATCGGGTTACTGCTGTATCGTGAAAAATGGCGTTCTTCTGGTGGAGCACACCAACGAACCCATTGAGTTGCACTAATTTCTGAACCTTGTTTGCCGTATTGCCACGGGGGGGGCGGGGCTTCTGCTACACGCACTGCGAAGAGGCTCACTTTTCATGGACGCAAAGAGAAGACCGAGGAAACTGAGGGAACGCGGCAAAGGGCCCATGAACTACCTATCTGTCCAGAGAGACAGAGCTCTCGAACATCCCATCAGCATTCATTCCCGCGCACACCATCGCCACTCTCGTCGCTCGGAGCCTTGTGAAACCTCCGTCGCCTGATGGCCTCATTGGGACCACCTAAATATCTGGGCAGTGTGTTTACATAGGTACATGCCGCCCTACGTCGGTCTTTGACAAAGCTATGGGTGCATGCATATCATTCGGCCAGCTAGAAACTGACCTCTGGGTTTGCAGAGAAACATCCATGAAGCGCGTCCGGTCGACCGAAAAAAAATGGAGATACGAGATTTTCGATTACGCCTGGGCGGAAACGACGCGTGCTCCAAGATTACTTGTAAAACGCCCACACAAAGGGAGCCGACATGCGGTAGCAAAATTAGCGCATCACCACGAGAATAACCTCGAACGGTAATAACGTCTCTGTAACGCTGCGCATGTCCTTTATACGTGACCACACCTCAGTCTCTTCGGCGGATGGTCTGATTCCTCGCGTAAACCCGGGTGTTCGGCTCAGAAAGGTGCGTGGTTGGGAGCTTCGGAGCCAAAGTAATCATTCACATTTATCTTTTTACCGTTCTGTGAGACGGTCTCTAGAGGCCGTAACGGTCTCGTAGAGGAATAACCACAGTCGAGAGGGATATGCTCAAGTGTTTTCAGTTTATTAAGTGGAAACCGGCTGGAAGCTGAGCGTATTTTTAGTTTGATTAAGCCAAAACGCTGAAGTGTATCGGATATTCATATTTGGGACGATGTACGTACGTACTATACAGTGCTACCCACCACATGCTCCCGTACGGAGCGAGTGCGCGGCATAATCACCACTTTCGTTTGTTGTACCAATAATAAAGGGTAGATCAAGTACAGCAGCAATGAGTTTATTTTTGGTTGTCATCTTTGTGGCGAGCGCAAAGGTTTATGCCTTCTGATTACCCATACCCACAACACACACCAAAACCAAAAACACACCCTATAGACTAGCCTTGCTGTCACGAAGGTTTTCACGTTTCAACAACTTCCGACAATACGAACGACCGCGGGAGGGCGGGAGGGAAATAGTGCCAACGTGTTGTAGCTCCGTCAACCCGCTTTCGTGTTTCACCCAGGCTTCCTTCATTACTCCGGCCTCAACGCTACGCCTCCCTACCCCGATTTCCCGCCGCATCGCCTCGCCTCTCCCCGTCGTCCCCTCCCTGTACAACCCCGCCTCATACTTGTCAAAAACCGTTTATCTTTCATCTGTCAAGGAAGAAAATGCGTGTCGTGGTCGTCCCCTACACACATGTCGATAAAGTACTCATACGCTATCTAAACATCACAGGCCTCCCGTCCGAAAAACAGTTCTTGCGCCATCTCGACAACAAACAGGAAGGTTACGTACGATCAGGGCTTTGAGTGAATCCCTCCGAGCGCACGTCCCAACACAAGGCACCCCCTCTGCTGCCTGAGCAGGGCGATTGTGCGCACCTATTTCTGAGCAAGGCTCAACGTGTCTGCGTTCACAGCCTCCATCCCTGTGGCTTGTGTCGCCGTTGGAAAGACCGACATCGCGGCGGCAGGCGTCCGTGCTCTTGCCCACGTGACACGTATCCCAGCCGATCGGTCGACACTCTGCACCAGAATGTCAACACATGCACACAAGCACAAATGAGGAGAATCAATTAACGCCCCTGGTTGTTGATCGGGTACATGAGCAGCGGAGAGGCGCGTGGACAGAAAAGGCAACATATCTACACCCTTGACCTGGGCTTGTGGTCAGGGCACAGCCAGAGAAGAGGAGAAACGAAATTCTCACCGTGCTGGCTTCAACAACACCCACACACGCGTATGAGCCCCGCCAAAAGAAACAGCAGCGATGCTAAGGGTTTATCACACCAAGCGCAACCGGTACAGAATGATCTAGCGGCGACGCTGCTTGAAGAACGCGTTCCTACATGGAGGGTGCACAACAAGCACCTCGTACGAACGGAGTCGCAATAGACAATGCCGAAGTCAACACATACCGCGCTCGGCGTACAACTTGCATTTCGCGCATCGTGAAACGTGGTTGATGAGAAGCTGCAGTACAAGTTTACTAGTCTAGTTCTGGTAAAGCGTGTTGAGATACAGGTGCAGCGACAGTGGACGGGTGCTCCTACGAAACAACTCCAGGAGACCATAGCAAAAACTCAAGAGAGGAAAGCACGCAAGACGTGGGTGCGCGGGCGTACTTGCTGCATAGGAGAGACGAACAGCATCTCTACGAAAATACAAGGGATCCCTCCGGAGTGGGCCAATGAGAGCACAGCAGCGTCATCCGCCAAGGGGTGAGGAAAGACGAGCCAAAGCAGGCAGCAGGACCAGCCCACAGTCGGGTGCCAGCTGCAGGTTGTGATTTGTGAGGACTCTCAACAGCTCACACAGCTCATGTGGTTTTGACTCGAAGATCCCCGCGAACAAAAGACGAACTTTACCAAGCTAAGTAACTGTACAACGGATCACCCCAAGGCCATCCAGCCGAAACATACCAAGGTGTTGGCTAAATCAAGACAGAGGCACAACCACACGAATATGCATCCACACTCCGTCTTCTGTCGCTCCCCACCCACACAGAAGCAACCCGATACAAAAGATGGCCGCAAAGCTGTCTTGTTGAACCTGTTGCCTAAAGTGTAGCGAGGCAACAACTCATGTTGCGCGAGGATCAGGTGGTTGCAGGCCATGTAAGGGCCGCTTTATCAATAACGCCAAATTACCAAATTTCCAACTTCTGACTTCCCAGATTTCCAAATGAACTCGTTCCAAATTGTTCGGTGTCATCAGTAGTTCCAAATCTTTCAAACTTCCAACTTTTTCCCTCGGCCGCAAATGGAGGTTCAACGGTCTACGGCTTTGGAAGCAGGGAAATTTGGAAGCGAAAGAGCTGCTGCAAAAAACGGCCTTAAGACTAAACTGTATTTCAGTAACTTGGATGCGAAGCTGTGTTTGTAGCTATCAAACGATGTTGGTTGTGTGCGAGAGTAAATAAATACTGCAAGAAGGCGAGGGCGCCGAGGAGAGGAGACTGCTCCACAGTTTTGAGTACGCGGGCGGGGAACGCTTGTGAAACGTCAAGGTGCCACTCTCACCTGTGATATCATCGTTCACAGGAACGCCACGATCTTCCGGAATAGTCCATCCTCCTTCAGCTGTATCAAGCTCCTCATCGCGCGTTGGAAATTATCCGCACTGTCCCGGTTGGCCCCCCGCCGCCCGCTACCAACCACTGTAGCTGTTGCTGCCATAGTCTTCTTCGCACGGGGGCTAGTTTTAGTGTCGTCGACAACAGTCAGCCGCACCCTGTCGGGGTGAGCGCGACACAGTACAAAGAAAGATCGTCGACTCCAAGCCCTTTGTGCCCTGTCCTTCGGGGCATTCACCAGCATGCTCCGGGTACGCTCGGCCTCGTTCGCCGACGCACCCATGAGATCGCCAGCAGCAATCCTGGCTTCGAGAACATCTAGGGGAGTCTGGCCTTGACAATCCAATCTAGTCTCGTCAGCCCCGGCCTTCAACAGCGCGTCCACCGTCTCCCAGGAAGATTTGATGGTGCAGTTTTGAGCAGCGACATGCAAAGGTGTGTTCCCCGAAGGAGTTTCTTGAGCATGAACATCGGCACCGTGCCTTGCAAGGGCCTCGATCACAGCTGCATTCCCGGCCTGCCGCGCAGCGAGATGGAGCGGAGTGCATCCATCCAGTGCAACCTTTGCCTCCAGGTCTGCGCCGACTTCCACCAGGAGGTCAACGGCGGATGCGTTCATGTTCCATCCCGCCCAGTGCAATGCTGTATATCCATCTGAAGCTGACGCCGTTGCAATCGCGCCGCGCTGCAACACCTGGCGCGTGAGGTCCATGCCATCACTCCGGACGGAACAGTCTAGCGGGGAGTACCCATTCGACCCGTCCCGAACATTGACATCCGCACCGGCGGCCATTAGTGCAGTTGCTATTCCCCAGAGATCATTCTCCATTGCATCCTGCAGTGGGGTTAGCCCGTCCACCCCCGTACTCTCTTTGTCATCACCGTGTCGAAGTAGCGCTAGCAAGGCGGCCTCCGACGCACAACCAGCGGCGACACGGAGGGGTGTGCAGCCTTTAGCGTCTCGATTCTCGAGGTTCGCTCCAGCGTTTACGAGGGCATCAATGGAATCCACCGCGTTGTGATTGGCGGCGTGGTGTAAGGCGGAAAACCCGGTCTCATCAGACGCCGAGTCAAGGACGTCCGACTGTCGCTCGACAATCGCCGAAATGACATCGGCATGCCCTCCAATCGCCGCCAAGTCAAGGGCCGAGTGACCACCCTCGCCGTGTCGTTGTCCGATATCGACCCGAGCATCCGATAGCAGGGCTACGACCACACGAACATGGCCTTCCTTAGATGCCAACAAGAGAGGTGTCATACCGTCGCCGTCAGTATCGATGTTGGGGTCGGCGCCATGCTTGAGCAAGAGCGATACGATGAGGTCGTGCCCTAATCCAGAAGCACGGTGGAGATACACTCCGATGTCAAGTTGGGCAGCAACCTCGTTCTCATTCCTACCGTCCATAGTCATACGTTGTTGCTGCTGCGCGTGCTGTCGACCCCTACTACCACTTTGGCGCTAATGTGTAGGGTCCGCCGGGGAGAGAGAGAGAGATGGGTGACCTCGAGCGTGTTGATCACCAGCGAATAGCAGCAGTACAGCAGTACAGCGTGTCATGTGTGGAATAAAGTGTTTAGGACACAGAACATTGCGGCTGGTTCACAAGGTCGTATATGAGGTTCTAAAGAGGAAGTGTCGGTTCACATGCGGCGCGTATGAAGCGGAATGCGGCGTGACTTCGACGATGAACGATGAACAGATGTTAGATGTTAGCTACTAACATGAGGCTCCGTCGAGGTCAGTCCTGAATAGTGAAGAGCTGTGTGGTGTTGTCAACCAACGGTCTTGCATCTCTGAGGTTAGGAAACTAACACGAGGGCTCCTCAGAGCACAAACAAACCCCCTCCGGAAATGGCCGAGGGTTCCACACTACATGTCACACACACAGCAGGCTGTGCGGAGAGATCAGTGAAGGGCCTTCGCGTGATGCTGCCGCTCTGCCGTGCTCCCGCCCCCTACCTACCCTGTACCTCACCTAGCTCATCATGTAATATTTTTTGGTGGCGGGGGGGAGATGATATTTTCGCGGCGCCCCCCGCGCCCCAGCGCCGCCGCGGGCTGCGCTATTCCCACCAGTCTTTGCTGCCGTAGTGGTTGGTGTGTTGTTTTCTTCGCCATAAATAAGGAAATACGAAAAATACGTGGTGAATCAGCACGATGCGACAGCCCAAAAGGAGTAATTAGAAATCTGTTTTGGGCCGACTTCGGCTGGTCCTTCTATCAAAAATAAGATAATTAATTGAGGCTCGACCCGATTTTGACGTTTCTTATCTCCGCCGGTGACGTTTTGTACAATGTCTACGTGCAAAAAACTCCGAACACACTATCTACGTAGATAGAGTCCACCCCCCGGGAGGAGGGCAATTGTTTCGATTCTTCTGTTTTATACAGGAATTTGTATAGGGGGCTTCGTACACGAATGAATGTTAGTCATTGACCCCCCTATTGCAGAAGTTTTCTATCCACGGTGCCCCCCCCCCCCAACTCACCCCTCCACAGTCTTTTCATTTGGTCAGCCGGTTAGCTAGCGCGGTCGATGCTGATAATAAAAAAACACACACGGACCCCGATTTTTTGTTAGTACGCCTATCTGTGTGTCTTGCATTTTTTTTCACGAAGATCCGGATTCATTGCTCATTAATATTGCCTTAAATGGTTTTTTCCTTCTAAACAAAGCAGTCAGTAGCAGCGGGAACATACATGCGCAGCAAGCACGCGATTCCAAGAGATCCGATGGCTCCGTACGTACGGTGATCATCCAGTCCATGCAGGGTTCGTTTTTTTCGGCTGCACGGCTAGCAGACAGAGAGAGAGGCGTGTTACGGGGCTCGTCGTTCGTTTTATAGCGTAGAAAGAAGCAGCATTCTTGAGCCTCACGGGCGATTACGCGATTACAAAACCGCAGCCGAATTTCGCGGGGTCGGCTGCTGTTGTGCATTGAACATTAGGAATTGCATTTTACACACATGCCTTCTCCCACACTGCTGTCACCATCGGGAACATCAACAGCACCAATTATCTCACATTAATTTGGGAACGATGTACGTACTTCCGGAGAGAGTGCGCGGCGCTACCCCTCTCGTTCGTTTGCCCAGTCAAAGCTAGGGTATATGTAGCAGAGTGAGTACAACAGTTTTCATGGATTTCTTTTTCGTTGTAGTTTTTTGTGGCGAGCGGAATATAGTTGATGCCTCCTGGTTTTTGTACCAAGGGGAATGCAGCAGTGTGCAGACGATCGATCGATAATGTAGGCTTACCGGCAGACCATGTTTTCTTCTCGACCATCAGCAGCGCATAGAATGTATGGCTCGCGAGTACACCAGAGCAATAGCTGTTTTTCTGCGTGTAATATTTGTCTGCTCTTTTTTCAGTGCGACATACTTAGTACTTTGGCGAATACTTACATCCGAACCATGGCATCACCTTTCCAGTCATCAACTATATATCCTCCCTCTCACAACAAAACCGCTGAACTGATTGTTGCGCCCCTAACTCTGACAAGAAAAAATACCCGCAACAAAACCCACAAACAATACACATCTAGAAAACAAAAACACACCCTATAGGCTTGCTGTGACAAAGGTTTTCGCGATCGCACAACGGGTTTCAACAACCTCCGACAATACGAACGACCGCGGGAGGGCGGGAGGGAAATAGTGCCAACGTGTTGTAGCTCCGTCAACCCGCTTTCGTGTTTCACCCAGGCTTCCTTCGATACTCCGGCCTCATCACTACACCTCCCTACCCCGATTTCCCCGCCGCATCGCCTCGCCTCTCCCCGTCGTCCCCTCCCTGTACAACCCCGCCTCATACTTGTCAAAAACCGTTTATCTTTCATCTGTCAAGGAAGAAAATACGTGTCGTGGTCGTCCCCTACACACATGTCGATAAAGTACTCATACGCTATCTAAACATCACAGGCCTCCCGTCCGAAAAACAGTTCTTGCGCCATCTCGACAACAAACAGGAAGGTTACGTACGATCAGCTTTGAGTGAATCCCTCCGAGCGCACGTCCCAACACAAGGCACCCCCTCTGCTGCCTGAGCAGGGCGATTGTGCGCACCTATTTCTGAGCGAGGCTCAACGTGTCTGCGTTCACAGCCTCCGTCCCTGTGGCTTGTGCCGCCGTTGGAAAGACCGACATCGCGGCGGCAGGCGTCCGTGCTCTTGCCCACGTGACACGTATCCCAGCCGATCGGCCGACACTCTGCACCAGAATGTCAACACATGCACACAAGCACAAATGAGGAGAATCAATTAACGCCCCTGGTTGTTGATCGGGTACATGAGCAGCGGAGAGGCGCGTGGACAGAAAAGGCAACATGTCTACACCCTTGACCTGGGCTTGTGGTCAGGGCACAGCCAGAGAAGAGGAGAAACGAAATTCTCACCGTGCTGGCTTCAACAACACCCACACACGCGTATGAGCCCCGCCAAAAGAAACAGCAGCGATGCTAAGGGTTTATCACACCAAGCGCAACCGGTACAGAATGATCTAGCGGCGACGCTGCTTGAAGAACGCGTTCCTACATGGAGGGTGCACAACAAGCACCTCGTACGAACGGAGTCGCAATAGACAATGCCAAAGTCAACACATACCGCACTCGGCGTACAACTTGCATTTCGCGCATCGTGAAACGTGGTTGATGAGAAGCTGCAGTACAAGTTTACTAGTCTAGTTCTGGTAAAGCGTGTTGAGATACAGGTGCGGCGACAGTGGACGGGTGTTCCTACGAAACAACTCCAGGAGACCATAGCAAAAACTCAAGAGAGGAAAGCACGCAAGACGTGGGTGCGCGGGTGTACTTGCTGCATAGGAGAGACGAACAGCATCTCTACGAAAATACAAGGGGTCCCTCCGGAGTGGGCCAATGAGAGCACAGCAGCGTCATCCGCCAAGGGGCGAGGAAAGACGAGCCAAAGCAGGCAGCAGGACCAGCCCACAGTCGGGTGCCAGCTGCAGGTTGTGATTTGTGAGGACTCTCAACAGCTCACACAGCTCATGTGGTTTTGACTCGAAGATCCCCGCGAACAAAAGACGAACTTTACCAAGCTAAGTAACTGTACAACGGATCACCCCAAGGCCATCCAGCCGAAAACACACCAAGGTGTTGGCTAAATCAAGACAGAGGCACAACCACACGAATATACATCCACACTCCGTCTTCTGTCGCTCCCCACCCACACAGAAGCAACCCGATACAAAAGATGGCCGCAAAGCTGTCTTGTTGAACCTGTTGCCTAAAGTGTAGCGAGGCAACAACTCATGTTGCGCGAGGATCAGGTGGTTGCAGGCCATGTAAGGGCCGCTTTATCAATAACGTCAAATTACCAAATTTCCAACTTCTGACTTCCCAGATTTCCAAATGAACTCGTTCCAAATTGTTCGGTGTCATCAGTAGTTCCAATTCTTCCAAACTTCCAACTTTTCCCTCGGCCGCAAATCGAGGTTCAACGGTCTACGGCTTTGGAAGCAGGGAAATTTGGAAGCGAAAGAGCTGCTGCAAAAAACGGCCCTAAAACTAAACTGTATTTCGGTAACTTGGACGTGAATCTTTGGATGTAGCTATCAAACTACAATGTTGGTTGTGTGCGAGAGCAAACACATACTGTAAGAAGGCGAGGGCGCCGAAGAGAGGTGACCGCTCCACAATCGAGTAGGGGCGGGGAACGCTTGTGAAACGTCAAGGTGCCACTCTCACCTGTGATATCATCGTTCACAGGAACGCCACGATCTTCCGGAATAGTCCATCCTCCTTCAGCCGTATCAAGCTCCTCATCGCGCGTTGGAAATTATCCGCACTGTCCCGGTTGGCCCCCCGCCGCCCGCTACCAACCGCTGTAGCTGCTGCTGCCATAGTCTTCTTCGCACGGGGGCTAGTTGTAGTATCGTCGACAACAGTCAGCCGCACCCTGTCGGGGTGAGCGCGACACATGACGAAGAAAGATCGTCGACTCCAAGCCCTCTGCGCCCTGTCCTTCGGGGCATTAACGAGAACGCTCCGGGTACGCTCGGCCTCGTTCACCGACGCACCCATGAGATCGCCAGCAGCAATCCTGGCTTCGAGAACATCTAGGGGAGTCTGGCCTTGACAATCCAATCTAGTCTCGTCGGCCCCGGCCTTCAACAGCGCGTCCACCGTCTCCCAGGAAGATTCGGTGGTGCAGTTTTGAGCAGCGACATGCAAAGGTGTGTTCCCCGAAGGAGTTTCTTGAGCATGAACATCGGCACCGTGCCTTGCAAGGGCCTCGATCACAGCTGCATTCCCGGCCTGCCGCGCAGCGAGATGGAGAGGAGTGGCCTCGGCGTCGGCTGCAATCTTTGCCTCCAGGTTGGCGCCGGCTCCTACCAGGAGGTCAATGGCGGATGCGTTCATGTTCCATCCCGCCCAATGCAACGCTGTGCATCCATCTGAAGATGACTCCGTTGCAATCGCGCCGCGCTGCAACACCTGGCGCGTGAGGTCCATGCCATCACTCCGGACGGAACAATCTAGCGGGGAGTACCCATTCGACCCGTCCCGAACATTGACATCCGCACCGGCGGCCATTAGTGCAGTTGCTATTCCCCAGAGATCATTCTCCATTGCATCCTGCAGTGGGGTTAGCCCGTCCACCCCCGTACTCTCTTTGTCAGCGCCGTATCGAAGTAGAGCTAGCAAGGCGGCCTCCGACGCACAACCAGCGGCGTGCAGCCTTCGGCATCTCGCTTCTCGAGGTTCGCTCCAGCGTTTACGAGGGCATCGATGGAATCCACCGCGTTGTGATTGGCGGCGTGGTGTAAGGCGGAAAACCCGGTCTCATCAGACGCCGAGTCAAGGACGTCCGACTGTCGCTCGACAATCGCCGAAATGACATCGGCATGCCCTCCAATCGCCGCCAAGTCAAGGGCCGAACGACCGCCCGCGTCGTGTCGCTGTCCGACATCGACCCGAGCATCCGATAGCAGGGCTACTGCCACACGAACATGGCCTTCCTTAGCTGCCAACAAGAGGGGCGTCATACCGTCGAAGTCAGTAACGATGTTGGGGTCGGCGCCATGCTTGAGCAAGAGCGATACGATGAGGTCGTGCCCTAATCTAGAGGTACGGTGGAGATACGTTCCGACGTCGACTTGAGCAGCAACCTCCTCGTTGTCCCTGCTATTACCATCTTTTGCCATGATGATGATGCTTCCGACGTGTCCCTGTTGCTGCTGCGTGTTGTGGGATGTCGACACTGCTTACCGCTTTTGCACTTGCGGGTAGAGAGATTGGAAGGTGTACTTGGGCGTGCTGATCCCGTGTTGCTGCAGCGGGCGGGTGCTTGTGCTGGGTGCGGCGAGAACACGAACACGTCATCAAGGGCACACGCAGGCTGACATCATACTCCCACCTCAATATATGCGGGTGCAATGAAAATGTCCCCAGCGGGACCCCCCCCGGCCGCGCCCGGTTTCCTGTTTCTGGTTTGCGTTTGTGCAATGAATGATGAAGGCGTGAGTAGCGTCAGCCTACAGCAAGGCAAGGTGGTTGTCACGATGGATGGAGATAGCCTCGCCGACCCCCTGTTGCCGCAGGACGGGCGGGAGCAACAGCTGCAACAGGAAATGAAGGCTGCGAGCAGGAAACTGGCAGCTCTAGGTCTCTCGATGGCGGGCATCGTCGCCGTCGATCTGTTGCTGTGCTCGTATTCCTGTTCGGGCGGGTTCAAGGCGCAGCCTCTAGGTGGGGCAAAAAAGTAGGAGACTTGAGTCGCTATGAGGTGTGGGCAATTATGTGCGCGTTGCGCGTCGCTCGATGGATTCACCCAGCTCTGGCAGTTATGTACACATGCAACAGCATATGTAGACGTACGCACAAGTTGTACTATACGCACAAGTTGTACTATAATAGCAGACCACAAAGCCTTCGTGAAGTTCCGATTCAATCTTGCAGAAGCAGCACCCGTTTCCGTCCGATAATTACCTCCCTGCTATCATGAAACGCCCCAATAACACCCTACAGGCATGGGTTGCGGATCGTACCCTCTGGGGTCGTCCGGCCTGGACTTGCTGGTGGTGGGCGTGGTGCGGTGCGCCGTGGCGGTGGCCGGGTGCTTGGCCTTCTTTTTCGTCGTGCGACGAAGGTCTAGGATAGTAGACAGCAGCAGCGAGTCCGCCGCGCCGCCACCCTCCGCCTCTCCTGCTGAGCACCACGGAAAATACCTCTACGGTGGCAATGGCGGCGGGGGAGGGGTTGGGGGCGACGGGGAAGCGGCGGGGCAGCGAGCGTCTAGTTCGTCTACTCGGCAGGTGCACAAGTGGTTGCTACTGCTGTAGAATTTCAAGCGTTATTGTTTATCCCGCGCACTTGGACGCCTTTTGCTGCGTCACACTTTGAGTTTTGAAATTTTTGTTTGTTGAAGAGTGACATGATGCGTGCGAGATGGCACAATGCTCTCTATGATCAAACTACAGCAGTAGGGCTGGTGATGTCCCTTGGCTGCGAGCTTGTGTTTTTTTTTCAGTGTGTGAGAAACGCATCGCAGCAGTTGATCAGGATTTAAAATGTGCTGTGGCAATACTGCTTCTAGTCTTTGGTGTCATACATAGAGACATGTGATCATTCGCTACATGAAGGTACCGCCGTGCTAACAATAAAACTTTGGGAAACATAAAAACAAACATAGAAAGACTTACCGTGGTGGTTGCCGATAACGTCAACGCGAGGATTGTGCTGTCCCGGCCGCGGGCGGATGGCATGTCCTTCGCTGGTTGTCGAAGTCATGAATGGGAGTGCGTTTGGTATGTGCACACTGCGCACCCGTCACCTTTCATGCTTGTGTCGTCCCTCGCAAACGTCAACCTCCAACAAGCAATGCGTGGCACCCCCTCTACATGATAGACATGTTTAAGGCCTTGCGAACCTCCCTCGCAGGTTAGCGAGGTTGAGAGTTCTGCTACGTGAAACTTCCCCGCTTACTGCTGTGTCTAGCCACTGTATTGCTCTGAAGAACCGCGCGCACGCACACTTTGTCCTTTTCGGAGCGTTCTCCGTTATTGGCCACACGGAGACTTAGGTCCCCTCATCGGTCAGCACGGTAACGCGGTCGATGCTGAACCAACAACGACACACACACGTGACGCCCCCCTCACGGGGTCCCAGATCATGCCCTTCACAAGCGCTTGCTGTTTTCAGTGTGGCGCTGAAACTGACGTTTTTTCACTTTGGTCAGCCGTTTAGAGCGATCGATGCTAGTAGAAAGCACATCCGTGGGTGTGGCTGTGAAGGGGTTTGATCTCCCCACCATATGGACCCTTGTAAAAGCTGTCGCTGCTGTGGTTGTGTTTGTCAGGTGGGCGCCCCACTTGGAAGCACCACATCGTACAAGGTGTCTAGATGGGCGCAATGGTTAGAGTCTATCTGTGTGGCCGGTCCGATCCTTTCGATCCTTCTGGTGATAACGAAGTGCCTCGCACGACTGGTGGCGGGACCAGGATCAGGCTCCGGTTGCGGCTTGGAGACTGCATGGTTTTGGTCATCCATCGGGTAAGCGACTTCCCAACAACGCCATCGTCGAAGTCACGTCGCATGTTTTTCTCTCTTCTGCACATTATACGCGAACCGATACTTAAAACGACCTGGTGGCAGTAGTTCTGTGTCCCATGTACAGTTGTTTGTTCCACAAAACGCAGCAGCAGCAGCAGCAGCAGTGGCAAGCGCCCCTACAAACCAACCTAACGGCAGAGTTTGTAGAAGATATACATATGCATTGAATCAGAGAAGGACTGCCCGTTAGAGATAGTAGTACCAAATCCGACGCCGGTATGTTGAAGTCTTTGTGGGAGAAAACGGCGTTTTTCGGGGGGTCCCCTATGGAGACGGACCCACTCCGCAGCCGACACACCCCGTTGATCTCGTTGCTGCTGGAGGGTAAGAGGTATCGGTAGCATCAAGAGCTACACTGCCGTCAAAGCATTTCGAGAGAACGCGTGGTCTGCTAAACTTACTGAAACACCGAGATGTGCTTATAAGAACCAATAAAGGCGGCGATGTTCGAAAAATTGGTGTTGGGGCACGAATGCTTGATCGAGACTAGCTCCTATCTAATCGTAGGCTATCATAACCGTTTCCCTTCTTGTTTCGTATCTAGCGCAGGGCTGCCGCCTGTAGCCTTGACTCCAATTTCCTTTGCAGCAAGCTTTCGAGCCGCACAAGAGCAGCAGCACTTAGTGCGGGCTCTGGCCCAGCCCTGGCGCAATGGCGCAGCTGCCTGCGTCCGTCGAGGTCTCGCGGCTTTGGTGCAATGACTTTTAAACCGATATCGCGAAAGCCCCCCCTTGTCTCTCGCCGACTGAACTGAGGTTTGCAACCGCCGTTCGCTCTCCCCTGCCCGGTCCTGCCGTTGCCTTTGCCGCGTTGGCGTGATCCTGTGGGCCGCAGCTGGAGTGCTGCCGCCTCGGGAGTGGAGTTTCTTCTGGCCACTCGTAAGTCTCTCAACGAGCGTTGAAGATTCGATCGCCCCTCTGTTAAGGACATGCATGTTTTTCGTGTCGACAGGTGTCCTTAGGATGGGTCCGTGAGGCCGATACTCTTCCTTGCGTTGTGCATTCTGCGGGGCACCATGCCTGTGAAACAAAGGCCTCCCTCTCCGAGGGCGGACTAGGGTGATAGAAAGAGAGGGAGGGAGAGAGAGAGAGAGAGAGAGACATCGCCTCCTTGACAATCGGGGGTATCGGTCGTGTCGACCCACAGCAAAGGACCAACGCAGCCGAAGAGGAAGAACTCGTCGGTTATTTCCTCTCTCCAGAGCACCTTGGCAAGACACGCTCGTCGTTTTCATTGCTCAGCCTGTGCTTTCCTATGCGGGCTGCTCCCAGTACAGCCAGACCAGCTTCTTGACGGTGTACATCTTGACTAATCCCATGTATTTTTCAGCTTGGTATTTCGTAAGTTTCTGAGTTCCCTCATACTTCACGGTACATACTTTGGTCGTTGGTGGTTTGCGCTATAAGGTCAACACACCCCATAGATGAGGGAATATCTCTAAATGAATCGGTAGTTGGGTTTATGAAACTCAACTCTCTAATTGAACAAGTTGGGCCAACCGACAACGGAAGCTCCTCTGTTTGCCTTTAGGGGTACGAGAGAGAGAAGAGGAGGTGCTGCGTAGGGGCTAGGGCGGTGTTTCCACGCGTAGTCGCGAGCGAAGCCACCACCGCCCCCAGCATCCGGGCATATGCTCTTGTGGCATCTTGCAACCGACCCAGCAGCAGCAATTCTTCTGCTAGCTTGCGACCGGCTCCGCAGCAGCAAAAACCCTCCCCTCCCGACCCCTCCCCTCCCCTCGCCTCACCTCCTCTCTCCCCTCTACCCTACCCTACCCTACCCTACCCTACCCTACCCTACCCTACCCTACCCTACCCTACCCTACCCTACCGACAACAGGGTTCACGTCGACCTGCCGGCGCTACTGTCTCGTCCGCTGCTGCCGGAAACGGGGCGATTACGAGGCGATATTGGAGGCAGCCTCGGAGGAGGAGGGGGGGGGGAAGAGGGAAAAGCCAGCCTACTCGGCGTCGTTCTGGGACATTATCTCGCTCTGCGCGGAGGACTGGCGCCTGAT